TGAACTGAAGATTACCCACCCACTGGTCCGTATATACTGTATGAGCATTTCCAGCTAGACCATCTTGAGCAACACTAGCAACACACCACTTCTGTTTCTGATGGCCTGTACTGATTCTTGGTTCTCGTATGGCTCTGAAACCAACGGTGTCCAAATTTCAAGGGGAAAAGGCTGTTCCTAAAGCTGCGGCCCGTAGCAAGACGTCATCGAGAGGAGGAGGGGATTTTGAAACGGCTATAGCTCTCCCTCCCCTTCTGGATGTCACTGAAAGCCATTCCTCATCCCATGCACACGTACACAAACAGCCATGTAACGCTAATGGACAGTTTGTTCCTGCTCAGACACACCTGATTGTAACTGCTGAATTATCTCCTCAGCCTTCATCGGGTTCTTGCAGCAGATGCTAAACACTCATTTTAATTAACATGCAGTTTTCAAGCAGAGAAACATCTAAAACTGGCGGGAAAATGGCGCTCCAAGTCCACTCCCGCTAACGCTGCGCCAGGCTAAAACAATAGTCTGATGTAGCTTAAGGTTGAACGATAGCTAATAGCTCCAGTACTCAAAAGATGATGTGTTTTTGTTCCCTCTCCTCTCACAGTTAGTTTGAGGTTTACAGACTGATATTAATTACACAGCATTGGGCTGCATGGTGGCGCAGTGGTAAGCACTGTTGCCTCGCAGCACGAAGGTTGCAGGTTCGAAACTTGGCCGCGGCCTTTCTGCGTGGAGTTGCGTGTTCTCCACATGCATGCGCGGGTTTCCTCCTGGTTCTCCGGTTTCCCCCACACATTACATCATGTCCTTCAAAAAGCAGCTGAAGACTCACCTGTTCAAGCTGACTTTTGTATGACCTTCTTCACCTCTCTCTCTTTATTCTGCTCTCCCCACCTATTCCACCTTCCTCAGGATCCACTGGTTCCTGTTCACTCTCTTTCTTTCTTAACATTTTTTATTTTAAATCCCAATTGCCTATTTTTGCTCATTTTAAATATATTTTTAAACATTTTCTAAATGCTTTTTTATATTTTTACATTTTTTTTTGTTTGTTTTGTTTTTGGGAAGCGCCTCGTGATTTTTATCTTGAGAGGCGCTATAGAAATGATATTTTCTTCTTCTTCTTCTTCTTCTTCTTCTTCTTCTTTAGGTTATAAATTGTAAGTTGCTTTGGATAAAAGCGTCCGCTAAATAAATAAACAATAAACATAAACATCGGTGTGTCATCCCGAAGTGCATGCTTGGAACCGGGACACATTCTCGTTATTTGACTGCTACCTCTAGTGAACACACAAGTGTTTGGGTCTACGCTGTAGGCTTGCGTAATGATTCATTTCCAGTAGAGAACAAAGAGAGGGTCTTAGAGGACATTCTGTATACATGATGAAAGCTGATCTACTTTGTCACATAACAGGGTCAGGTTGTTGACAGATTTAAGCATTTTTCATGTTACTTAACGATTTTTAAACTACGTCTCACGGCTTTAACAGAATACAATTTTAAGATGTGTGATTAACTTGGAAAATATGATTCAGAAGAATAAAAACTTCTTCATGGAAGGTCTTGTTGCTGGTATGAAATGGTGCTTAATTGTGGTGAGTTCATAGACACCCATAAGAACCTGATCTTGGCTGATCATTCTGAATATGGGCTGATTCTGATGACCAGCAGGCCTTGGACCTGCCATGAAAGCTACTCATCGACTGACTGATTTGTTGGTAAAATGTCAACTTTGAAGGATCAGTTAAGCCAAATTTCTGAAACATGTTTAGACACTAGTTTTAAAATATAGTGTGTATTTGTTAACATACTGATGGTGTGTTTACCTGCAGTTAACGCTGCAGTAGTATCCTGCATGTGATTGCCAGCTTCACTCGCCCCTGGACAAGTCAGGTGATCTCTCCATTAACAACTGTTTGGAGTGTTTGGTCATCTATTCTTGGCTTCCAAGGTTATTTTAAACCCTTCAAGAGCAAATTAGAATTTGGCAATTATCCGTCCATCCTTTTAATCTACGTACTTATCCTAGGGCCTTGTTGCTGCAAGGCAATAGCGCTAACAAATGTGCCACTGGGCAGCCCAATTTGGCAATTAGTTGAACGCGTTTAAATTTAGATTTTTTTTGTTCCAAACAATCGTTGAAACGATGCAATCAACAAAAAATTAATATGTGAATGAATTTGGCCTATTCCAATTGGCAAGATCACTCTTATTTTTTTACTTGAAGTTACTGGTGATCAAAATATGTCTCTAAAGGTCTTCGTTCATGTTATAAAAACGTACTGCTTCATCAGTGCGCCACCATGACACGAATAAGCAATAATGTAATATTTCCAGACTTATCGGGCCTACAACTCCCAAGGTCCTGCGGGAGATGAGACTTTACTCTTTTAATAAAATGATTCTGATTAATGATTAACATTGAGCAGCGTTTACAACCTATCGACATTTTCTGTGTACTTTCACACTTAATGCTCTTATTTTGGTGAGCCACGTTGCAGTGATCAGTTAGTTTTAGCTGAACAGAAGTAAGAGAGGACGAGAGAACAATCTTTTACATAGCACTTCTCAAGATAAAAATCATGACGCGCTTCACAAAATCAAAAAAAGTATAACAGTTTTTTTTAATAAATGATTAAAATATGTTTAAATTGGGAAAATCAAATTTGTGAATAAAAATAAAAAAAACCTAAGGAAAAGGGAGAGAGAAAATGAATAGGTAAGAGGGAAATCAGTGGATCCCGGGAAAGGCGGAACAAGAGCAGAACAAGGAGAGGGTGGTGATGAAGGTCTCACCAAAGCCAGCTTGATCAGGTGAGTCTTCAGCTGCTTTTTAAAGGAGACCACTGAGTCCACTGATCTCAGGATCAGGGGGAGAGAGGTCCAGAGTCTGGGGGCCACAGCAGCAGATGATCTGTCACCTTTGACCTTTAGCCTGGTGCTGCACAACCAGTAGGCTTTGGTCACTGGACCTCAGGGACCTGCTGGGGGTGTAGGGACTAAGAAGATCACCAATGTAAGATGGTGCTTGTCCATGTAAGGCCCTATAGACCAGAACCAGGATCTTGAAATGAACCCTGGAGTTGACTGGCAGCCAGTGAAGCTGGAGGAGAAGCGGGGTGATGTGGTTGTGTTTGGAGGACTTGGTCAGAAGCCGAGCACAGTCATTCTGAACCACCTGTAGACGGTTCAGGGAGGTTCTGCTCAGACACGTGAAAAGAGAGTTACAGTAGTCTAACCCCCAAATTCCACTACCTCCGCTCCGCTCCGACACGAACGCCGGAGCAAAATCGGTCCGTTGTAGTCAATCAGAGCTGTTCCACTACTGCGGCCGTGCTCCGGCAGTGCGGCGCCGTGCGCCGCCCTCTGTTCCGGCGTCCGGCAAAAATAGAATCGATCCTATTTTCGCCGGACGCCGGAGCACCTCCGCAGTAAATTGACAGAAATCACAACCGCCCAACAGGAAAAGGA